TTAGTTGATTTGTCTTTTGCTAGTTGCTGCAAACACTTCGTAGCCAGATATGGCGCTGACCTTGTGCCATAAGTTACTGTATTTAATTGGTAAAACTGCAATGGGTCGTTAGGCGATCTTCTCCACGCAATGATTTGGTATTTTCTATCATTTGGATGTATAAGGATTTGTCTATACATCTTTTCAATATCTGTGCAAAATGCAAATCTGGGGCATCTGAAACGAAGTAAAATGGAAAACAATTCACTCTGAATTTTTGGGCCTGTTAACAATATGTCATTTAATGATAACCCGTTGTTGGTCTTGCACGATGCATCAAACACTACTCTCAATTTTGTTGAACTACTGGTAGGTCGAATTACACAATGATGTGGGATCAAATAATGTGATGTGATGTCCTCGATATGAATTTTGCTCATGTGGGCCAACTTTTCGTACTCATCCATAAATTCTACATACTGCTTCCAGACTGCTTCATCTTTGCTTAATCTTCTTTCTAGGGCATAAAATCGGTTTATCGCTGTGTTTTGAGAATCTCCGAGATTTGATGGATTTTGTTGAAACGGTAATCTCACAATAAATCGACCATGGTTGGTTTTTTGTACATTGTTTATAAAATGCAATTCGCACAACTCTTCTTGCTGAGTTAAGTTTTTGTTTGTAGGTGATGCTTCATCGAGTTGCCAAAATTTCTCTATCACCTTTTCTATTTGTTCTTCATCGTCCGAGCAAATGCCGCATGTTTGCATCTGCACACCTAAATTGTTGTCAGTTATTTTTCCTATCACAATCCAGCCCAGTAACGTATTTTGCAATATTGGAAGATTATTGCCAATTTTAATCTGTCCGATCGACAGCAGTTCATGTGAGAATTCTGCCCCCAGTAAGAGATCAATATTACCCTTTTGGTGAAAGCAAGGATCAGCCAACTTAATATTGCTCGGTATGTCCCAATTTGAAATGTCGAGCTGCATGCTCGGTTGATCAGACACGATACTTGGTAACACGTACGCTTCCACTCTTGCGGCATATTCATTGATTTTGGAACTAAAACCCAAATTTACTCGCCTTTGAGCATTTTGTTTCCTTTGTCCAATACCTTCGATGCATGCGGATACATTCATTGGATTTTCTCCTAGTTTTTTGATGAGCCTTTCCGTTACAAGATTTACTTGTGAACCGGAGTCTAATAATGCTCTACATTCAACCTTGATGCCTTTATTGCTTCGTATTATTAAGCGTGCTGTTCCCAATACAACATAACCCTTGTTGTAATTGTTATAATTGGAGATCAGGCTTATTGACTTACTCGAATTTGTTATTTTATTTGGGTTAGTGCATGTTGCATCTTCCAGATGTAAAAGAGAATTGTGTTTTTTATTGCATATTTTACAATTGCCTGACGAGCATTCTCTTGCAAAATGGCCAAACTTTAAACAATTAATGCACAACCGCATTTGTTTAACTAACTGAAGTCTTTTAGTGGGAAGTTCTTGTATGAATGACTTGCACGTGTACAATGGGTGACGATCATTCTTGCATGCCGGACATAGTTTTTCGTAATTTGATCCTTCGTTTGTTGCAGCAACTACTCTCGATGTGTTTAAGACCTTTACGTTGAATCCTCTGCCAAAAGCCTCCAGTGACAGAAATCGGCTTTCAATAAACTGTAGAAGTTCTTCGAACGACACGAGTGAACGATTATCCTTTAGAGATTGTTCAAATGCTGTTTGAGTTCCTCTATCTAATTTCTTTAAAGTGAGGTGCACCAATATTGCATCCCATTCTTCTATTAGAATACCCTGTGCCTTTAAGCCCAAAATGCACTCCTTAGTGACATCATGCAGCGACTTCAAACCTGATGAAGTTTCCGCAGTTAAAGACGATTGGCTTAACAACTTGTTGAGTAACGCTGTAATGAGTAGACGTTTATTGTCGTATCGAGACCTTAAAATTTGCCATGCTGTGGCATAATTTTCTGTTGAAGCTGGCAAATGTTTGATTAGATTTTTCGGTTCACCGATTAAATTGGTGGTTAAATAAAACATTTTTTGCATTGGTTTAAATGGTTGCTCGTCAATGAGCTGTAAAAACAAATCGCGAAATTGTACCCACATTAATGGGTTTCCGTCAAAACTTGGAAGCGTAATTTGTGGCAATTTTACTGATTGCAATGTTACTGTATTTTCTGAGATACCATCACTAGAATTTAACAATTTTAGCTTTGATTTTATTAACATCAATTTATTGTGTAGTTTTGTTTCTATTTCAAAAAACACATCCCAACTGTAGTCCTTTACCGTGTCTGCAGTGGTGGAGTTCCATATTATATCATTGTTTTGTTCTAACTTGCTGAGATAATTTTCCAGCTGTGCCTGACTTGTCCTGTAAGCCACTTCTTGTTGCGGTTCTTCAAATGTTGATTCTATTTCCTTCATGGTCTTTTCAATGACGCGAATCAGCGCCCTTTGATTTCGTAACGGTTTTGTCACGTTTTTGTCTTCGGTCGACACCGGCTTGATCCCTTCTTGTTTCTTATCTCCTTCAATGGTTGCCATTTTTTACGTGAAAAATTAATACCTGTATGAAATTAACAATTGGTACCAGATGAATTTTGACTGAATATAATTGATCACGTGTCTTAATGCAATCACGTTATGTGTACATGCACCAAATTCTTAGCTGCCGTAGATTACGCACCAAGTGATGATCCTGTTAATGCTGCAATCACGTCGGGGTCACCAAAATGATAAGAACGCGTTTGTTCTTATTAATTTCCAAGAAGTTATATCAAACTTCCAACACGCACATGCACGCGTTGGATGATATATTTTGTATTTATTAATGGTAAACTGCCGAGCACTTAAACTCGTAGTTTGCCTTACTAATCAAATTTGTAATAAAAAGATCAACTCCAAAATTCTTATTTGTATTTTATGTGTTTATTTATTTCTTTATTTATTTCCAGGTAGTTTGGACAATTTGTTGTTAAATGTGCTATTTTTTACCAGTTGTTACTCGTCTGACCGATCAACCAAAAAGAGGAAGTCTTTTTGCTTGAACCCAACACAGAAGCTGCTCTCATGTCCCTAATCAAGCTTAAAGCTTACTTCATTCTCCTTTTGTTGCCAAACAGCTGATCACTAGTGTTTGACAACGTTAAGAAGATGAAGTCTTTTATGTAGCTATTACGACCAAGATTTTACTTTACGGAGATTTAACAGGTTTTGTAACTATTGTATTATTTTTTGTTTGTAAAGTTTGGAACGACCTTTTCCGGCCCTATCTATAGCTGTGGTATAATTTAGCGAGTATACCAGGGCACGTTATAAGAATTTAATATAATGAAGAATGAGACACTGTGTTTTCTGTTTTATTATTTTATTTATTATTTATTTTTTTGTTTTGACAAGCCTTAAAGTTATAGGTCTTAAAGTTGAAATCGTCGTCAGCGTTGAAAGCGTTGGAATCGTTGAAATCGTTGTGAAGCGTTAGAATCGTTGAAATCGTTGTCGGCGTTAAAAGCGTTGGAATCGTTGAAATCGTTTAAGCGTTGAAAACGTTGGTATTGTTGAAATCGTTGAAGCGTTGAAGGCGTTGGAAACGTTGAAATTGTTGTAACCAGCAATGCACAACCTGCAATGGTGCGAAATCACAAATGCCACGTCGAAATCGTTAGACAGCGTTGGAAACCTTGGGAATGATTGTAACCGTTGTGAAACGTTGCGGTTGTTGAAGTCAGCAATGCTAAACCTGCAATTGTGCGAAATTTCAAATGCCACGTCGAAATCGTTGGACAGCGTTGGAAATGTTGGGAGCGACTGTTACCGTTGGGAAGCGTTACAGTTGTCGAAGAGAGCAATGCTAAGCCTGCAATGGTGCGAAATCACAAATGACGCGTCGAAATCGTTGGGCAGCGTTGGAAACATTGGGAGCGACTGCAACCGTTGGGAAGCGTTGGAGTTGTCGAAGAGAGCAATGCTAAGCGTGCAATGGTGCGAAATCATAAATGCCTATGAACACGTTGTTAAAGGTTTGGATGAATACCCTTGCCAGCTATAGCTAGGCAAAGATTCTCTTCCCTATGCCTGAACACGATCGTCAGCAATTGCCAAACGCTCGTATATTCTACACTTCACCTAATAGTGTTGGAGACTCTTCATCCATTCCTCCATAAGCTTTAGCCATATGGTAGTCCGGATGACTGGCTGAGCTACCCTATGCCAGGTATAGCCAAGTACTTCACCCATACCTATTCGTCCATCCACAAAGTGAACGTCAGCAATGGCCAGGAGTATCGTCATGCGTCCAGACCAACTAGTTTGAGCTCCCACTGTTGTCCCTAACAAACTCCTACTACAGTGCTGGTGATTTGCTATTCAGTTTTCCATCAGCAATGGCCATTTAAGTCACTCTTCGTCAGCATAGGCCAAACGAAAGGTAACTCAACCAATGTCAGGTCGCTCATTCAACCTCAACTGTCCACCTGTTGAACGTCACCAAAGGCCAGACGAGCCATCATGTGTCCAGATCACTTGGACCGAGCTCTCACTGTTGTCTCTGACACACACAACTTACCTGCAATAAATACAAAGTTTTAAATTTGGTTTTTGTTTCATAAACAATTTATTATACTATTATTTATCTATGTCACACAAGTAGACGTTATATAAATTGTCAAATCAGAGCAAAATGTGGAGTGAAATTATTTAAGTTGTAGCAACAAGTAGATAAAGTGCACATCACATTCATCCATTTTCATTTATTAATAGAAGTTACTGCGTGAAGAGCTTTTATAAATCTAAGAAAGACTTTTTATCAATAAAATGTTGAAATTTAAATATAGAAGAAAAAGTTAAGGTCCTAAAATATTTAGGATTTTTAGTTTTTGATCTTTGTACTTTTAATTATTAGTGAAAAAATGCACAACGAAATTCTCTATTATTGAAAGTAAAATACAGAAGTTGAATAAGCATAATTTATATTGTCACTTATTGTAGACTCAGAACACGGTATACGATATTATATCTGACATGGCAAGTCGACAGGATGTCATTGAAGTACGCTTAACAAACCTTGAAGAAAAATTAAAAATAATTCAAGTATGTTATTTTATATGAGAGTTACATTAATTTAAAAATTCAATCTTTCAATCAAATGCAGGATCAAATGGAAAACTTACCAGATATGTTGACACGTTGTTTAAGTCAACACCAGGAACGAATTGATCAAAGAAAAAATTTTCTACATCCAGATACGGCAGCCACATCAACGAAACTAAACTCTCCACATCAAATTATGAATTCCAATTCCATGCTTTTTTCTAATTACAGGTTTGTAAAAGTCAAATTTTAAATACCACATCACATACTTATTCAGAATTTATATTCATATTATACTTACTTTTATTATATTAATACTTATTTTAACCTTAACATGGTATGTCCTGTTAGTATATCTAACGCTCTGGCGACCGAACATTTGGCGGGATAATAATTTCTGGCTACTTAGAGTAGCCAACAGAGGCGTTTTCGAGCAAGTTACGGTGCCTCGAAAATCCAAAAACTGTAAACAAGATAACAAGACAAAAACCTATTCTATCTGAAATTATTAATTATTCAAGTATCTACAAATACTAACAATAATAATGGACGAATTTCATCAGTAACAGAAATTTGCAATAAAGCAACGCCTCGATTTTGACAATGGAATGTACGCACACTTCACCATGCACTTAAATCCAAATAAGTTTCTACTGAATGTGATCCGCTCAAAATTGACGTATTAGATACCAGCGAGATGAGATGGAATGGATATGTTGAATTTATTAACAATAAAATGGGCCTAATTATCTTTTCTGGAATGCCTAACGATAATGACCCACATGTTAAATGCGTCGGTATCTACCACCGAAAGTCGATACGTCAACCTTTGCTCTCGTAGAAACCTTTGTCAGAGCGTATTATAACCGCGCGGCTTAATACGAAGTATCAGAAAACATCACTAGTGCAACGGATAAGAGCACTTTCACAGATAAATTTCTACAGTCACTTTAAGTACCACGCAATAAGTTAATAATTCTAATGGGTGACTTTAATGCGCAGCTAGGAGCGGACAATGTCAATTATTAACACATCATAAGTAAACATGCGCTAGGCGTTTGCAGCGAATTCCCCATAAATACAAGATCACCAAATGGAGAATTTCAAAATCAAATTGATCACATTTGTGTGACGAGCAAATGGTTCAATATAGTAAACGATGTACGCAATAAACACAATGCTGACATAGAAAGCGATCATTACTGAATTATCGCCGAATTTCAAATGAAATTGTACCCAAAGAGATCAAGAAAGTCAACCAGAAAAAAGTGCAATGTGAGCAAACTAAAGAGTGAGGAAACTAGTCGCGAAGTATCAAATAAAATCAAAGCACTCAATTAAGAACAATCCGAACGAATTGATAAGGAATCTACGATTAGTGGGCGTTTATAATAGATGAAATGCAAAACATCTGCGAAATATCACTGGGTTTCTCGAAAAATGAAATCAAAGAATAAATATCCGAAAGTACAACGCAGCTAATAAAAGAAAGATAAAATGTCAGAACAATTACTAAGCACGTCAGGAAGGCGCAGAAAGGATGAATTACATGAAATATTAGGCCCTCAGAAAGAATGTTAAGCGTCATGTGAAAACCGACAAGCGAAACTAATATAACCAACTCGGAGACTCTGTTCAGAAAGATGTGTATATAGTAATATAGTAACACAAACTCTTGCACACGAAAGCACTACATTAAATAAAAGCTCTTCATTGTTGATGAGTAAAAGCTCCTCAAATACTGGCAAAGGGACAACTTTGCAAAAAGATCAGAATCTGTAATTACAAATCAAACAACATGAACTGATAATTGTCAAATAAATCCCATAATGCAATCGCTTGGCAACACTAAATTAAAAACTGCCCCAACTTGGAGTACTTAATGCAAGACACCAGAATTAACTCAGCCCATGTACAATATTGAGCTAAAGCCTGATTGTAAAAAACTTAAAAAAGGGGAGATACATCCTATATATTCTTTAAGGTATTTACTTCACAGGAAAATTGTGGTTGAAGAACCCCATAAACGCAGAGAGCCTATTCAATGTCTAAATTGTCAGGAATATGGACACTCAAGAACATATTGCAAACTAGAAAGTATATGCGTGATATGTTCTGAATATCACCAAACTGAAAAATGTCCGAAGAACAAAGTTGATGACAAAGCTAAATGTTGCTCAAATTACGGTGGAAACCATACAGCGAATTACAGAGGTTGCCAAGTACACATTGAACTAAAACAAAGCATTAAAAATAATGTAAGTTGAACTCAAGTGAATACAGCAAATTCTGGGAATATTTTGCCTAATCAATTTACTAACACAATTAATAATGCAACAACTTCTTCAAATAACAAACCAAATGTACAATCTTATGCAAACGTTGTTAAGAATACTTCAACTATGAACAATAACTCTGAGAACACCAACATGTCTTCAAATACTGAATCTATACTTTCATCCTTTATTCAAAAAATGGACAATTTTATGGATTGGATGAATAAACTGATGAATAACATTATGCAAAGTACGATTCAAAATCAAACTCTTATGGCTGAATTGATAAAGGCAAAATGAACGCATTAACTGTTTGCCATTGGAACGCTAACGGTTTATGCCAACACTCACCTGAAATTCAAGATTATCTATATAGAAATGACATATATATTATGCTGTTATCAGAGACTCACTTAAAGCAAAAAAATTGGTTACAAATTTTATGACACCAAACATCCAGATAAGAAAGCTCAGGGCGGCACTGACGTATTAATCAAGAAAACTATTCACTACTTTGAGTTAGAGCAATATAGTGAAAAACACATGCAAGCTACCTCGATTTGTGTAAAAACTGGTCCGAATTTTTCTGCTATTTACTGTCCTCCACTACTTACTATAACTACGGCCCAATTTCGCATATTTTTTAATATGTTAGGTCCCAAATTTGTAGCCGCTGGAGACTTTAATGCAAAACACACTTTTTGGGGTTCGAGATTAATCTCACCAAGAGGCAGACAGCTTTACATGGCATTTCAGAATGATCTTGACATTATTTTCTCAGGTCAATTAACGTATTGGCCAACTGATCAACATAAAATACCTGACTTGATTGACTTTGGTGTTATTAGAGGACTAAGCAGAAAAGATATAACTGCAGTACCATCATTTGATCTATCCTCAGATCACTCTCCGGTCATTTTAACTTTACTAAAACTAAATAGAATTGATTTGCTCAAGATTTCGACAAGGTTTGGCATGACGACTTACTTGCGAAAATTAAATTAAAACTCCCTGAAAACATGCATCGGTTATTTCTTTTATACCTAACTTCTAGAAAATTTCGTTTGAAACATAACTCTTTTACTTCAAGAGAAGTTGAAATAATAGCAGGACTTCCCCAGGGAAGTGTTTTTGGGCCCTCTTTATATTTACTATACACAGCCGATCTTCCTCTCTTTTCTAACCATAAAATCTCAACTTTTGCAGACGATACTGCAATCCTTAGTGTAACATACATAGAAACCCCAAAATGACCTCTCAGAATTTGTCACTTCATCTTATTGAAAATTTGTCACTTATTGAGGAGGATTATGGAGGATAAAAGTAAATGAATCAAAACGTGTTCAAATAACGTTTGCACTAAGAAAAGAGACTTGTCCACAAGTTACGCTGAACAACACTCCAATTCCGCAAGCAAACGACGTAAAGTATCTTGGCATTCATCTTGATAGAAGGTTGACTTGGAGCAAACACATAGATAGTAAGAAAACACAAATAAAATTAAAGTTTATTCAATTCTATTGGCTTATTAACCCAAATAGTAAACTAAGTCTTGAAAACAAAGTCTTACTATACAACTGTATCATTGTTCAGCTTGCTCTGCATATATTGTAAAGATTCAAACCGTGCAAAACTTCATCACACGTAAAATAACAGGAGCCCCATGGTACGTTAAAAACTCCAATATCCATAAGGATTTAAATATCCCACTGGTAACGGATGTTGCCCGAGCATACATAGGCAAATATCTTACGAAGTTTAGTGTACATCCCAACCCACAAGCCAGACAGTTGGTTCCAACACTTAGAAAAAGAAACAACTGAAACTGCTGATTTTGATTTGAATTTATTATTATTATTATTTAAAAAATATATTTTAATAACTAAATTATTGCTAAATTGATAAATTTATTGATAAATTTTATTGCTATTGCTATGATTATCAATTTTTAAAAGATTATAAAGAACCCACAAGCTACGGCTTTAAATTTTTATGTTTAGTTTAAGATTTGAAAATTTATTGTCAATTTCTTCCATAAAAAAAAGGATTCCATAAAAAATGAAATGCAAAAAGCAAAAAAAAATGATTTTACCTGGTCCGATATAAAATGTGTCCACAAAAATGTTTTTTTAGTTAAATGAAAATTAAAATAATGAAATAAAATGAGACTAATCTCTCTAATGAATATCATACTCTTCTGATTTACTTAAATTTGTGTTTTTTACTATGCATGCTAGTAATAAGTCTATTTTGATATTTAATTGCTGGTTGAGTTAGTCGGAATTTGATTGTTTTATGCAGGGCTTACATTTGTTGTTGCTAAAAGTTCTGTCGTCAATTTTAAATAGTAAATAAAATTATAATGTCGTGCCTAAGATACCTAAGAAATCAGGAACTATTACATATTATTGACAATTTGAGCGAAGATGACTCATTAGTGCCAAGTGACATTCCGCTACCTATTGAATAATAATGTTTGCCACCTGATAATGATGCTGGTGAATCGGGCAATTGATTGACTATGATGAAATATCAACAAATTCCGTTTTTCTAATTGTGAGAGAGTATTTTAGTACTACTGAAGTTGTATACGAATCAAATGCACAAGATTATAGTGGTGTTGTAGAAATGCCTGAGTCGCAACAATTCACATTGGAACTTGTAAAACCAATACGTTTCGGTTATAAGCTATGAACCCTTTCTTTGGGTAGTGGGTATATCTTTCAGTTTCTGTCATACTCCAGTGCAACTGACAAATACAACAAATGTACAAATACATACAACAAATACAACAAACAATTGGGAATCGGTGCATTTGTTGTAAAGGAATTATATTAATTATGTTAATGTGCAACACTATAGCAGAGAGAAAAAAAAAGGTTGGTGTCCCACAGCCCCAAGTTATCAACAGCTACAACCGGCGCTGATTTATATGACAATGGAGTTGCTAACTATCGTACCGGGAAGAGAAGCAAAAAGGGGTGGTGGCCATTATGGGTACAGTGTTCAGATAGCGCTGTAGTAAACGCTTGGAAACTACTTTCACTCGTCGCTGCTTCTAATAACAGAAAACCGATGCTTCAGCTAAACTTCAACAATTTCATTTCAATACTTTTAACGTAAAATAAGACCTTTCTGAAAATTTCACCATAAAATTTCAAGTTTGAACTTGCCTGGTACTTAATGGGTTAAATAATTTGGCAATTTTAGTATTAATTGTTCTTCACCATGTTGTCGTTGGCATGCCTTTACGCCGGGTTCCTTGAGGATTCCATGTTAGTGCTGCGTACTGGACTTCGGTTCTGAATTTCAACATTAGTACACATTTGGTCAATTTGTTTTCAAAGTTCTTCATTTAATATCGTTCTTGGCCACCATATCTTCATTATGTTTCGCAAGCAGCGGTTGATAAAAGTTTGTAGTGTCTTTTTAGTCTCTTCGTTACAAGCTTAGTCTCTGATCCGTATAACAAGACAGACCTAACGCATGCATTAAAAATTTTTATTTTTGTATTTATGCGGATGATTCGTGCATGCCATATACTCGTATTTCGTACCCTTGCGAAAACTTCTCTTGCTTTTTGTTTTCGTTTTCTTATATTCTGCTTTGTGCATTCGTTTATAGAGAGAATGCTTCCCAAGCAGGAAAAGCTCTTCACGTCACTCACATCTTTGTTGCCAATTGTGAAGCAGGCTGTGTCACTAGATTTTATGTGCATAGATTCAGTTTTTTTTGAGATCGACTTTTGCGGAATCGTTATGCAACTGGGTCAATTACTTGACTACATACCTATGTCGTCCCGCGAGAACAGGACGATGTCATCTGCGTATTCTAGATCTTCAAGGCTAGAGTTAAACCTAAACTGATACCTTCTTTTTGCGGGTTAAATATTTCTCGTGCCCTGTCTAATACTACAATAAGTACGAATGGCGATAGATTTGCCTCTTTGATTGCCGCCAGTGGTGGAGTCAAAGAAATCGCTTAACTTTCTTTATATAGCACTCTGAATTTTGATTGTTCGCAGCTTTGTTCCCATCCTACCTAAGGCTGACCACATGCAGTCTCCCTTGATAGAATCACAAGCTTTTTCGTAGTCAATGAATACTGCATACAAAGTGCTGTTGAATTCGATGCATTCTTCTTTAATTAAGCGCATACGGTTTATGTTGTCAATGCATGAGCGTTTTAGACGAAAAGCCAATTGTTGTTTGCAAAGTTGATTGGATCTACAATGCGATTAAGTATTATTTTGTTAAAAACTTTGCTCTAGGCTGGGACTAGCGCTATCCCTCTCCAGTTGTTACAGTCAGAACAGTAACCCTTGTTTGGTGTTTTTATTATTATCGATTCTTTCTACTCTGGACAGATTTCCTCATTGATCCAAATATCTCTAAAGAGGAGATGTAGCATATAAGTTGTGCAATCGACATCGACTTTTAAACATTCAGCTGGAATATTGTCGTCGTCAGCGGATTCACAATTTTTTAATGAACGTACTGCTGATGCGATTTCTTCTTCAGTTGGAACTTCAGTAATCATATTGCGTAATAGTCGTCTTGGTTAACCCATTTGCGGCATATCGTTATTAGTTGTTAATACATTAAAAATTAATTATAATTTATATTCTCCTGTATAATAGAATTAAATATTCGGTTGATGAAAACAACATATTAAACGAGTTTCAATCAGAATTTCGTAAAGGTTACTCCCATTTATTACTAGTTTAGCTCAAGATTATATTGCAAAAAATACGATAATATATAATTTTTACTTAGATTTTAAAGCAGCTTTCGATACAATTCAAAGAGACGCACTATTTTGGTCTATATTTACCAGTGTGCTCCGATTTCACACTACGATATCCTTATCTGCTAAAAGTTTTTTGGCTGTTTTATTTTCTTAAGTAGTGTGTTTATTTCGATTATTTCTTTCACTGTAATCTTACCGTACAGTTGTTTTAATTCGTCTACAGCGTCACCTCCTTTTCAATATAAATTAAAGTGTTATGAGGTTTTCTACCATTTTTTAAGACATCTTTTGCCATTTCTGAAGATTCGAATTCTGCAATCATACCCACTGAATTTTGCTTTTCAAATATCACTTTTGTGTCTCTAACTTTAACACTTATCATAGCCATTTTGTCTTGAAAAATTGCATCCACGTCATTTTTTCAAATACAACGTTACTTTGACCATTTTTTCCACAAATAAAATTGTATTATTATCAATTTTTAGCACTACATTCAAACGCGTAGTAATTACAAGAACTTTTATTTTCAATAGTCCACCAGTTGTCATATGTTTCCCACGACACAACTTAAATTTTTCAATAAACTTTTCAATGTCATTGACTTCGCCAACACTTCACAATATTCCAATTAATTGGTCTATGTGATCAAATTTTCCTATTAATAATAACTTGTAAAATTCGACAGTATATGTCTCATAAGTGTCCCATATTTCCCATATTACCAAATTTGCTTAATAGTAACACTTTCCAAACAATAATTACAAAACGTAATTCTTTGTGACTATTCTCGTTGCAGAACCATTAAAGTATCGAAATAATATTTTATCCCACGATACTTTAACTTCCTCTAAATAAGCAAAATAAAATTTTCAAATTTCATTATTCAGAATTCAAATTTGTAAATCATTAAAACATTAAAACAATATTTTAATTCATAGCAATTTATATTACAAAATCTATTGCATTTGGGCATTTCTCAAACTGCATCAGCATTTAACATAAACAATGCAATGACCCTCATTTGTCAACAGGATACCAAATTTTTATTGTTACCTTTCATCCATTTTCGCCAATTATGAATTGTAAGTAGTAGATAAGATATTGATTTTGTATTTAGAATGCAGTCTTAAGATATCTTTAACCGAAGTTAAAGTTGAAAATTAATATTGTGTAAAATATCTTGGATCAACAAAAAATACTTTGTAAAATAAAATTTTAATAAAAATTAAAATTTGATTGTGAATTAATATTATTATTATTATTATTTATACATCGAAGTAAATAAACACTGTTAGTCGCGCACTAATTAGATATAATTCACTAGGGTTGCCAATCTAAACCCTAGTTTATTTCAAAACACACAAATAGCTGTTATTTTTGAATAATAACTCTTAATTTTGAAAATAAAATGTAACTCGCACTGGCCTGCCGAATATTTTTGAAAAAGAAAATATGAACTGCATTTTTCATACAAGGTGGTTGTTTTTGTAATTTCATTCGAAATGTATTCAAGAGTTGGTCCAGGTAAAGATTTGTGGGTTCCACAAATCTGCCTGCTTGTCAGTTGCCGTCTCAAATGTCAAAAAGAGCAATGCTTGATTGTTTGTTACTTTTATACCATTTTTCGCAACGTTGTCATCGTACTTTTCCTGTTATGAAGTTGCCATATCCGCCACAGTACTCCCCTTAAGAAGGTTGCCGGAGGACTGATGAAGTCTGTGTGTGAGTATGAACTTTCTGAGAACTTTAGTTCTACTGGAACATCTGTATTCTCTAGGAATGCTGGCTTTAACCTTGTAACGATTAAAATTTTTGGCAATTTAATTGTTACAACATCGTGGGTTCCGCAGCCCAACAACAAAGCTCCAATATCCAGAATACCTTGAGCTGATATAGCACTATATTTTGCCAGTACATCTTCATGTTTGTTGCTTATAACTTCTGCTTATAATTGCATAAAGTAAGTTACTTTTGGTAAAGTTTGGTCAGTATACTTCATTACTATTATTGCCGATGCAGTGGATGCACCTTGACGAACAAAATTTACAGGATTGAATTTAACAATTGGTTCCAA